CAGATACTCCGCGTACTAAAGTTGTACTACAAAGTCGCCAGTTCTCATCGTCCAGCTCGCCAGATACTCCGCGTACTAAAGTTGTACTACGAAGTCGCCAGTTCTCAGCTTCCAGCTCCCCAGATGCTGTGCCTGCCACGAAATCTGCACATGGAGGTTCACAAAGTGCTGCACCTGCCACGAAATCTGCACATGGAGGTTCACAAAGTGCTGTGCCTGCCACGAAATCTGCACCTGGAGGTTCACAAAGTGCTGCGCCTGCCACGAAATCTGCACATGGAGGTTCACAAAGTGCTGCGCCTGCGACGAAATCTGCACATGGAGGTTCACAAAGTGCTGCACCTGCCGCGAAATCTGCACATGGATGTTCACAAAGTGCTGCACCTGCCACGAAATCTGCACATGGAGGTTCACAAAGTGCTGCACCTGCCACCACGAAACTGCACATGGAGGTTCACAAAGTGCTGCACCTGCCACGAAATCTGCACATGGAGGTGCACAAAGTGCTGTGCCTGCCACGAAATCTGCACATGGAGGTTCACAAAGTGCTGCACCTGCCACGAAATCTGCGCATGGAGGTTCACAAAGCGCTGCACCTGCCACGAAATCTGCGCATGGAGGTTCACAAAGTGTTGTGCCTGCCACGCCTGCCACGAAATCTGCACTTCAAGAAACCAGTGAAAACTCTAATCCCAATGGAGGGACGATTCCGAGAATGACCCGAGACCGTCTCGCAACCGTCGTTCCGCAGACCTTGACTTGCCAGCTTCGGAGCCACCGGTTCCATTGAAAAATACAGCATTTCGTGCGTTCGCTATCTCTCCACAACGCATTTTGTATTGCGCCTGCCACGAAATCTGCACATGGAGGTGCACAAAGTGCTGTGCCTGCCACGAAATCTGCACATGGAGGTTCACAAAGTGCTGCGCCTGCCACGAAATCTGCACGTGGAGGTTCGCAAAGTGCTGTGCCTGCCACGAAATCTGCGCATGGAGGTTCACAAAGTGCTGCACCTGCCACGAAATCTGCACCTGGAGCTGGAGTTGCCTGGAGCTTGAGCTGTTGAAACCAGAGCTAACTGTATTGAAACTAAGAGCTTATTGGAGCTAGAGCTATTGACACTAGAGCCAACTGGAGGTAGAGCAAACTGGATGATAAGTAGTGTATGATGAGTGGTGTATGATGAGTGGTGTATGATGAGTGGTGTATGATGAGTGGTGTATGATGAGTGGTGTATGATGAGTGGTGTATGATGAGTGGTGTATGAACAGTGGTGTATGATGAGTGGTGTATGATGAGTGGTGTATGATGAGTGGTGTATGATGAGTGGCGTATGATGAGTAGTGTATGATGAGTGGTGTATGATCAGTGGTGTATGATGAGTGGTGTATGAAGAGTGGTGTATGATGAGTGGTGTATGATGAGTGGTGTATGATGAGTG